GGGATGGGGCACACACGGCTCTGTCAATAGGCCTCTCGTGGGGCTCTCTCTGAGATGTCTTTCTCATTAGGAGAGATCAGGTAATACCTTTCAAAATGAGGATTGGTATTTTGGCAGTTTTTAGTTGTTATACTTCTACATGTTACGCTTTTCCGTATTTACTTACTCGCAGAGTTTTTTGACACCTTTCCCTATGGTGGTGACCTCTGTGCATGAAAATTAGGAGGACCACAGAATGCAGAAGAAAAATTTTCACCCTCAGTTGTTACATTTCTGGCAAATGCACAGACTAATCTGTGCATGAAAATATGATAAATGTCTGCAAAAAATATGACAATTATTTTCATGCAGTGAAGTATCTTGTTTTCTAATCAACCACGTGATTTAGTCTCTGTATTTTACCAATTAGTCTTTCTTTAACCAGCAATTGCTGAAATTACATCGCTAAAACTAAACTGTAATTTTGGGGTTGTGATTGTAGTATGTCAGTCGTCATGTTGGGTGGCTCTTGAAAGAGTATTAAACTTCACAGAATGTTGATGTTGTTTCACAGTCAAAGTTGTTAATGATTTGTATTGAAGGAGGTAAATGTTTAGTGTTATTTCAGTATTTGGGGAATATTTGATTTTGCAACAAGAATTGTGGTTCTCCATTTCATAGTTGGCTGTGTGTTTGATGAAATAATCAAGTGCAAAAATAAACTTTAGGCTGTAAACATTGTACTCCCTTGATATCACCAGGGGGGCTCTTTGGTGAGGTATTGGAATCTTGCAGAAAGTTGTTCCTTTYGGAGACTTGGCAAAGTGCTTCAGATGTGTGAATCCTGTAGCATGTTTGCCATGTTGACTTGATTTTCACTCGAGGTGTTGAGTAGTGTAAGTCGATATGCCTAGAAGCTTGTTYTCTTCTGCAAAGTGCTCCTTAAAGTGAGAAGGGATTTCATTAACAGCAACAACAGCAATGACATTGGAATCAAATGTGAAGTAATTTTTAATTTAAACTGCTATTTAAACTACTCCTATTAAAACTTKGTAAAATAGTTGATCTGTTACTCTATGTTTCTTGTACATTTCTAGGTMTTGAAGAAATTGCAAAAGAAAAAGAGAAGTTAAAAAAGGAAGAAAACATGCTTATCAAAGAAGAAGAATTTGAAACAGGAGAAAAATTACGTTGTTTGGCTACAACTCTCTGTGAGCAAAAGGAAAATCTGAAAGAAAAGGACAGCACTAACCTGTTTTTACAAAAGCCTGGGTCATTTTCAAAATTAAGCAAACTGTTAGAGGTAGCAAAAATGCCGCCTGAGTCTGACACTACGTCTCCAAAACCCAACGGCAGCGCATCAAATGGCTGCACATTATCTTACCCAAGTAACTCAAAAAACTCTCTCTGCAGTCTGCAGCCCCCTGCACCACAAAACTCCATCGAGAAGTCTGATTCTAATAATCYTTTCAGTGCTAATGCAGGTGGGACGGGAAGGTTGTACAGTTCTCCAGCGATKGCAAATGATCAGCTGTTAAAGACTSTGGGTGAGAAGGGCAGGCAGTGGTTCAGCCTGGTCCCCCGCGTGCCCTGCGATGACACCTCTGTCACCCAGCTGGACACAGCAGCTCCAGCTCCACTCACKCCTCACTCACACCCCCCATCAAAGTCACCCTCCCCTGTTCCATCTCCTCTGCTGGGCTCAGCCTCTGCACACAGTCCCATGGGATTAAGTCCTTTTGCATTGTCACCACTGCAGGTAAATACATTCATTTTTGAATCATTCGACTTTGCAGAGCTTATTTGGGCAGGATACCTGTTTAGACAAATTACTTCAAAGATCTGAAATCACTATATCTTAATTTCTTCTTTTTTTCTGTTTCTAAATGTTAATAACTAACTGCAGAAGTTTTGTAATACTAAATTATGATGTGCCAAGTAGGCTACTGTATGATATTTTGTACATGTATGTCAGKAATTTAATTTGGCTTTTAGGATGTTTTCTAGTCAACCATTTAACAGATATTAAATGAAAAGCAAGTACATAAAATCTTTTTGGAAGTGTAAAACACCACACCCTACCTTTAAAAGCTATTGCTTTTTAGCATTATCCAGGCGTTAATAAGAAGCATTACATGTCAGTGTTACATTAGTTTTTCTGAAACTAACTGAAGAACTGAGTAAAGGCCTCCTTTGTGTTTTGATTATTGTTTGACAAATAGCATCCCAATCATAATTCAGGTTTCTCAGGGACATTAATGGTAGTTGTGCTCTGTAGCAGGTGAAGACTGGACTACCTATAATGGGACTTCAGTTTTGTGGATGGCCTACAGGAGTTCTTACTTCAAACGTTCCATTTCCATCTTCTGTACCTGCTCTTGGATCAGGCTTGGGATTGTCAGAAGTGAATGGTAGCTCATTCTTGGCATCTGGTGTTCCTGCAAGTAAAAGTGAATCACCAGCACTACAGRGTGAAAAAGTAGCTTCTGCCCCTTCTACAGCAGCTGAAGTAGCCAAGCCCGTAGATTATCCTAACCCAAAGCCTATACCAGAAGGTAAGTGTAATGCAAGAAAAAAGATGATAATTTTTGCAGTGCCACTACGATGTTACAATATTTTTTTAAATAATTTGCCTATTGGTTTTCTAATCTGATTGTGTGTGATCACTTAAAAAAAAAAAAAAAGCCTGCAAAGTGTTTTTGTGCTTGTCTTGATTTAGAAATGCAGTATGGGTGGTGGAGGATTACTGATCCAGAGGACCTAAAATCTTTGATTAAAGTTCTGCATCTCAGGGGAATAAGAGAAAAGGCCTTACAAAAGCAAATACAGAAACACATGGATTATATCACTCTGGTCTGCATCAAAAACAAAGATGGTACGTAGTTGATGTTTAGTTACAGATGGTGTTGGGGCACCAGAAAAGTGCTTTTTGAGATGTGAWTAGCCGGGATTTACAGTAATGGCTGAGAAAAAAGGTAAAGGTCTCCTTATTTGTCTTTGCCTTTTCACCAGGCAACTTGGTCTGAAAAGTTACTGGATTGGAGAAATTGCATTTAATATAAATTGTTGTAGTGGTATAAATAACCTTCTTAAGYTCTGCTGACCTTCTGAAGCTCTTTCTGTCTCTGTAACCCTCAGCCTCTCCTTCTCTTTTCTGCCTTTAAAGTGCAAGTTTGAAACCATACAGARTTGGTTGTCCATATTGGGTTTTTTTTAAGAATAATACAACAGTTCTTCATCATTTGACTGGAGTGATGGGTAAATTAGCTTGAATTTACCAGTGCAGTTGTAATGCTAATTAAAATAATAAAAATGTGATTCTCAAATACAGTTGCAATTATTGATATCAATGAAAATGAAGATAACCAAGTAACTCGGAATGTTGTGGAAAACTGGTCAGTAGAAGAACAAGCTATGGAGATGGATCTTGCTATCCTTCAGCAGGTGGAAGATCTAGAGAGGAGAGTTGCATCAGCTAGTTTACAAGTTAAGGTAAAACCAACYTCAAGTAAAATGTCTCTTTAAAATAGGTGATAAGAATTTAAWGCAGATAGCAGTCCTTGTGTGCTGGTAAGTGCCTTCTTATTCCATTCTGACTTCCTACAAATGAAACAAATACACTACCAGCAGTAGTATCATGGAGATTTGTGTTTGAAATATTTTACTGCGTTTCAGTCTTCAGCTGAAGATGTTCAGAATGGCAGCTGCTGGAGAATGTTATACAGTGGAGCTCTGTGCACGTTTTGTTAACCTTCCCTGAATGCAAAGATTGTATTTCATACAGTCTGCTTAACTCTTGGGGGGTTTGCCACACTACTGCCTGGTTTGTGTGATTATTGCTATTAATGCTTTCAGAAATGCCTACAATYATCAGAATAATTTGCTTGAGTTTTGTAAAGCCACGGAGAACATGTAATAGGTACGAATGCAATAGAGTTAAGAATTCTCTGGATTTTGGAATTCTTCCAGGGTGGGTGTAAGGTTATCAAATTGCATATGTTTGGTTATAGTACAGGAGTGGTGTTTATGATGTAGAATTTGGCATGAGATGGATGTTGTTTTATTGTGACCMACTGATACTGTCTCCTGAGCGTGCTAAATGGGTAGTCCTGTTTGGATGTTTTGACCGGTAGAACAGGATACTTCATGAGAGGATAAGAATGCAGGCTGTTGCAGAAAGGTTCCTTCATAAAGTCTGSTAATGCTTATATTACTTGATTAATTATTTTAGTTCTCTGGATATTTTGGAAAATGTCTCTACAGATGGATTACAAGTAACCGCGATCTACCAGAAACASCGCTTCAATGACTTTGTTTGATTCCGTAAAACAGTTCCTCTGTTTACACCCTGAGTTAACAGCAACCAATAAATGCACAAACCTTTCTATTGACATAGGGTTGGCTGTGTCCTGAACCTGCATCAGAGAGAGACGACTTGGTATATCGKGAACATAAGTCAATTGCTAGATTGCACAAGAAGCACGATGGAGATTGTGCTGGAGGTGGAGAAGGCAGTGCCAGCTCTCTAGAGCGCAGGAGTGACAACCCTCTAGATATAGCTGTAACCAGGCTGGCTGACTTGGAGCGGAACATAGAGCGAAGGTATCTGAAGAGCCCCTTAAGTACCACCATTCAGATCAAACTGGATAATGTGGGCACAGTTACTGTCCCTGCTCCTGCACCATCTATTAGTGGTGATGGTGACGGGTAGGTTATTGAGATTAACTTGAAAAATTATTGTGCTTCTTTGCTAATTGGAACCTATTTTCTTATTGCCTGTTATCTATGTACTTTCTTGTATGTCTGTGATCCRTATGGATCATGTTATTCTGCATGGTGCTTTGTAAAGATTTTTTTTGTTACGTTTGTTAATAATCTTGCAAAGTTATCTTACATTTAACTGGTTGTGACTAAGCTTTGAGGCACGTAGCCACAGTCTGTGCACTACATGAAATTTAGTTGCTTAAACCTTATACTTATTGGCTGTGTACGTTTTGTCATTGCTTGGCTTTCAATGTGATAATGATTGTTCCACATTTAAACGAGCAATCACGGGTATGACCTRCTTAATTTCCCTGTATTTTAATGCAGAACTGAAGAGGATATTGCTCCAGGGCTAAGGGTGTGGAGAAGGGCGCTGTCAGAAGCGCGCAGTGCTGCCCAGGTAGCTCTGTGCATTCAGCAGTTACAGAAATCAATAGCATGGGAAAAATCCATTATGAAAGTTGTAAGTATCTAAACTGTTTTTGCTCTACCTGATTTTCCCACTTCAGGTATTTTAAGTTGCCTTGGTGAATAATGCATTTCTTATTACTTCGTATAAAACCCCGCAGTTAAACTGTACATTGTGCACGGATGAATGAGCCTAATGGAAAAGATTGTCCCTGCTTGCCAAATTCAGCATCCTGAACTTGCTAAGATAAAAAGCCTTTGTGAAYGGTTATGTTATTAAAGATGGTAATTATTCTTTGTTGATGACATTGAGGTAAAGGAGAGTAATTGCTTGCTCCATTTCATGAAAGATGCTCTGTCTGATGGAGTGTTTTTAATCTCACCTGTGACACAAGTTTTATGGAGGTTCAGCATCACRTATCCTTCATTAAGGACTTCATTTTTCAGAAAGTTGAGATGCTCCAAATTTGCAGCATTTTTGCATGCAGAGTTCTCCCAACTGAACATACAAATTAGGCAAGTGTGTGAGCAGACAGGCTGAAATAACTGTTTCCTTGTACACTTAGCAAGTCAATCTAAGTTAACTCCATGTACAAAGAAAGCATGCAAAGGGGATATGTCAAAATTTGCATGGACCTCTGAACCTCAAATTTCTGCAAACAAAACCTATTACTACAGCAGTAGTGACTGTGATGTGAGCAAGTGTGACCAGTGTTGTGCAGTGGGTAGCAAAAGTGAGTCTTGCATTTGTGGTCCTTTTCCTAAGTTTTTAATTTCTGTCAGTCATATACCAATTCTAATTACATCTGGATAATATACAGATGATTTAAGTAAAAGCTGTAATGTCAGGCTATACTTTTGAGTTTATATAGTTGTTAGCTTGAAGTATTTTTAGTACAAAAAGCTTGTGAATTTGGTAGAAGCACTTGAAAAGGTGTTGGAACATTTCAAGATGTAGTAATTTATTATTCAGGTATTTTAAAGTTAGTATGAATTTTAGGAAGTGCTTGGGATCATTTGTTTTGCTTTAGTGAATTCGTTCATAATGGCCCTTGGATAAGATCTTTACCAATTATTATTTGGAAATACTCTTGTAAAATACTGGTTTTTTTATAAAGTAGTAACATATGTATGCATTGTGGGCATAAATGAAAAGAAAATTTCTGAGATAGTGTGTTTGGGCAAAGAAGTTTTGATAGGTGTACATTTACTTTGCACAGACATTCATGAATTAGAGAAAGGGCTTGTCATTTTGTGGGCTGTAGGGACTTAAATGTCTTAAAATAAATTAATTGCTTTTTCAACATGTTGTCCCAATATAGCCTTTAAATTAGTTCCTTACATACTCCATGTATTCTTCTAGGGATATGATCAAGAGCAGATTCTGATTGGAGTAAAATGCAAGTAATTTTGAGAGTGAATTCGTGTGCTTGAAGGAGAAGGGTAATTTCGGTACCATTTATTGCTTCAAATTTAAAAAAATGAATTAAAAGCATTTTTCATTCATGACAGTACTGCCAGATTTGTCGAAAGGGAGACAATGAAGAGCTGCTGCTCCTCTGTGACGGGTGTGATAAAGGCTGTCACACGTACTGCCACCGGCCCAAGATCAGCAGCATCCCGGATGGGGACTGGTTCTGTCCCGCCTGCATAGCCAAGGTGACAAACACTGTCAGGGTGAGGGGACTGCAGCAAGGGACTGTGTATTGTGTGTGCCAGAGCTACAGCTCTGCCCCTGCTTTTTTCCAATGAAAATAATGGTCTGTATGTTTTGGGGGGGGCCTCCCATTAAATGATGAAATAATAGTTTAATTTGTGTTTTAGTGGCAGTAAAGGCTACAGTTTTATTTGTTCTAAACAGTGGGCTTTTTAATGTAAGTAGGTACATAGTTTTCATGCTAATTCAATATCATCATTTTTAATTTGTCTTTGGAAAAGAGAAAAATGTTAGTAAATATTTTTATTTTAGCGTGTTTGTATCAGTCATTTAGGAAGAGAGAAGTGTTTGTCCAGAACTGTGCCAGCCTGGTTTGTTAGGAAATACTGTTTTACCTATCTGAACATCAGGTGCTTTTGTCCTGTCACAAGCTGAGAACCTAAGTCACTTGTACCAGGAATTTCTGCAGCCTTATTTGCCTTCAGCAAACAGCAAAAAGTTAATAATCTTTAATATTAAATATTTCATTTGTTTTGGTGCTTCTGTTTCTGATCTTCATCGCTGTCTGTCAGTGATAACAGAGGTTTTTGTAATTTCTAGGCYATTGCTTATTTCAGTTCTCTCTATTCTAGGCAAGTGGTCAAACTCTAAAGATAAAAAAACTTCAGATTAAAGGGAAAAAAGGTAATGAACAAAAGAGAAGCAGGAGATTAGTGGGAGAAACAGAGGATGAGGACTCGGCAACTACAAGCACTGCCTTAAAAAGAGGAAAAACAGACCCTAAAAAAAGAAAAATTGAGGAAAATGTGTCTGTAAGCCAGTTAAAGCAAGAAAATTGCACTGCTGCTAAGAAACCTAAGAGAGATGACTCCAAGGACCTGGCTATATGCAGGTAAAGTGTCAGATGCTGAATTTAGGATAAGTCTTGTTGMAACAAGTAGTACTTGATTCTTTTCTGTGTCTGTTCTGGGGAACAGGAATGCTGTTCTTGGTCCCATGTCTGTGTGTGTACACAAATGTGTGCATGCTGGGAGAATGCTTCTGTCACGCCTGGAAGAGCAGGGCCAGTGACAGAAACCTTTCTCAGGTGTATCAAAGATCWYTGTSCAAAGAGCTTTGCATTGTGGAGGAGGCACAGGAATCAGCTGCTGTGGCAGCATTGCTGCAGTCCAAACAGACACAGCTTGGCCTTGTCACAGKTTGGGAAGCCACTATTAGCACCTGSTGTTTACATTGAGGATCAAAGTTGCAGCACCGTGGTTTTTTTTGGAATGTTGATTATTAACATAGGTTGCCTGGAGAGGACTTAATGCTATTTTAATTACTTGTCTGTCTCTATATGTGCATTGTTCTCAGCCTTGCACAGAGCACAGAATRAAGTGCTTTGTTTTTGTAAAGTGAATACTTTGGCAGTTCATGAGGAATTTATGTAATAGTGAAAACATTGTGAATGTATGAACAGTTTAAAAATACTGGTTTGAAACCTTGTTTTTTTCAGCATGATTCTCTCAGAATTGGAAACTCATGAAGATGCCTGGCCTTTCTTGCTTCCTGTAAACTTGAAACTTGTTCCGGGTTATAAGAAAGTTATTAAAAAACCTATGGATTTTTCTACCATTAGAGACAAGCTAAGTAGTGGACAGTAAGTAAACCTATTGTAAATTTTACTTTACATTTTAAAAATACTTTAGCACTGAAGTACAGTACATGTTTAAAATTGGCTAAACTGTCTTGATCTATCTGCTCTGACGCCTCTGTGATTGTTTTTACAGTCAAAATAAAAATTCTTAATTGTATGCTTTCATCTCGCCATATCCAAGTGAAGTAGCATGTTGGATGGGAGAGCCTATGGAACTGGCTGAAAAACAATAAAACTGCCAGCTGAAATACACCAAAACARTCAACAGGAAAGCTTTTTTTCTGCCTCTTTGTTTAATGGAGGTATCTTAGTGTTACTGTATGTCAGAGAGAAACAGCTGTGTAGGCTTTAAGCARGTGGAGTCCCTGTAAATGATGTGGCTGTGGAGTGAATTGGCAGCTCTGTTGTGGCTAACACTCCAGGAATGGTGGTTAATCATTTTATAGTCCATTTTACAATTGGACTGCACAGCCTTTTTAAAGAGAAGACCACGCTCTACACCTCAGCTCACCTTCCCTGTTAATAGCCCTGTGCTCTAATGAATCTGTAAAGATTGAGCCTCTGCAGTCTGTCAGCTCCACACAGAGCGACTTTYCTAGGACAGCACATTTTAACCTCTTCAGACCTTTTCTTCCATGAATATTAGGTTTAAATGGTCCCCATATGTTCACATCAGTAGATTTGTACCTTTTAGTCCTTTTTAATAATTCTGTGAATATTGGAACACTTTTTGAGCCATTCAGAGGTATGTTCAGGGTAATAAAAAGAATTAGCAAAGACAGTGTTACAGGATTGTCTGTAACATCAGCCATTATCACCCATTTGTTCCTCTTTTAGATAAATTCAACTCTATTCAGTGCTTACTTTGAAGGACCCTGAGCCCAAGAATAGATACATAAATGGAAAATAGCCATAGCATTTTAACTAGAAAACTGTTGAAGAGCAAGAGGAATTAGTTTTTTAAAGTTTGTTTTCCAGTACAGAAATTCTACCCTAGCAAAGCTTTTGAGGAAGACAATAAATGTAGTGACAAGAGAGTATTTGCTTTCACTGATGTTCATTTTCTTGTTAGAAATTCTAATTTAAATTCTTATTTAAGTATTTTCTGCTGTAGTCAAAATATTTTTCTTTTTTGATTCTCCATGTTTTAAAAATCCTTCACTTCTTTCTTCTTTCAGGTACCCTAATCTTGAAGCATTTTCACTGGATGTCAGGCTTGTTTTTGACAACTGTGAAACTTTCAATGAAGATGATTCTGACATAGGCAGGGCTGGTCACAACATGAGGAAGTATTTTGAAAAAAAATGGACAGAGATTTTCAAAGTGAGCTGAAGCTACTAGACCTCCTTTTTTTTCTTTTCATCAAATGAGGACTGATAAGACCAGCAATGTGAACTGTATTTACATGGAAGTGCAAGGCACATACATAAATAATTTTTTCCTTTAAAATGTCACCGAGTTGTGATACTAGTTTTAAAGGCTTCACTCCTACAGCAGCCATGGCCCCTTGGTTATTGGTTTGTGTGTTTTAACAAACTAATTTAGGTAGAACAGGGAAGCACACCCAAAGAATTTCAAAGAAAGGGGTGTTATAGTGCAATAGCAATTTATCAAAACGCACTGAATTTTCAACCACCAGAGCTCTACGGGAAAATGGTTCTCTTTTCCCTTTCAATAAATATCTATTTTTCTTTTTTTTACTTTGTAGTTTATTTTTTAGTGAATGTATTTAATTTTATGAATTATTTATGATTATACAGCATTCAGAATCTTCGTTTTCTGTGAAAAGGAAGAACTAGAAAATTGCTTTAAATGTTGAAAATACAACAAGGAATGTTTTAAAATATAAAACAAAGCCAAGTAAAACTGTTTACACTGATGTGCTGTGAAGGCACTAAAAATTAAACTTTACTGTAGAGTTACAAGTACATTTATATATATGTTGCTGCATCACTTGTGTAGTTAAATTGTATTTCAAGACAGTGAAGAAAAATTGAGACATGTATATACTGTTCATTATTGTTTATATTAAGTCTTGTTTTAAATATGTATGATGTGTACATATTGTTTGCAGACATTATTGTTTATGCCTTAGAAGGACAGTAGCATTTTATTTTAGTCTTAAGGTAATTATAGCTCTATGGCTTGTACAGTAATTATCCTCTACCAACACTGTGGAGTCTCCTTAATCTTGGTAGTGCCTGCCTTTAAAACAGGGTGTAGGGGATAGTAGTTTTCCATTTTTCTATTTTGTTATATAATTTCAAGCCACCACGGCCTCAAATTCAAGTRTAATCATTTGTATCCATGTGGAAGAAAATTGTGACAATTTCCTACGCGCACACAGTATTTTTTCATAGAAACATTTCCTTCCATTTGCCTTGCCACAGAATAACAGAAGAAGACATTTGTAACCACTGTGTTTTATCTACTGTGTGTTGTGGTGGCCTGTTGGGGCAGATAGATCAGATTTTTTTTTGTACTAATGTAAGAGTACTTGAAGTTTTATTTAAAAGAAATGTTGTGGAAAGGTAGCATTCTTTTTCTTTTCCTTTTTTAGGAGTGTTATTTTTCACTAGTATGTGTGGCACGGATACAATAAAAGACTGTTTTGGAAACCAGATTTTCTTGGCAATTTTAATACTTCAGGTCCTTTGTATGTAGGTTTTTTGGTTTGGGGTGTGTTTTTTTTTTTAGATAATATCTTAGGAGTCTTGCATTTAACATTCAGTTCTTATGATGCATCTAATTCTCCTGGGCTTTTAACAGTGGTTGGAAGGAAGCAATTGCAAAGCAGTCAGAGAGCAGTTTGTGCCTGTGAATGGCYGAGGGGTTCTTGGAGCTGGTGCTGCCAGGCTGTCACTGTCCTTGCAGACATGGAAACACCACGGATCATGTGAATGAAAACCACTGCCCGCTTAAAGTTTTGTCCCTTTTGGCCTGTAAAAGGGCATTACTCATAATCCTTACTCTGGCTGAGGAAAACACAGGAATTACAAACAGATATTGTGGAACTGCCATACCTCTTGCTCTCTCACAAAGTCCGGTTGGGAGGGGTGTTGGGTTTTGCTTTTAAACTAGGCCTGCCATGTTTGACTCCTAGTGCCTGTTTTTTTAATGAATGCTTACATTGCTCTCCCCAGAATATCTTGTTCGGTAATATTTTTCCTTATTCCAGAGTCGTGTTAGAATAATCTGTTATTAGCTAGCATAAAAAATTGCATTTGAGTGTCAATCTTGCATGCTGACGTTAGCTCCTACACTGACTGCTCTACGCCTTTCATTTTCACGACCTCTCTGAAGACTTCAGTGAAAAGGTTTGCTGACTTGTATCAGARATGTGGAGATTAATCCGTGTTTGGAATGTGTGATGGTAAGCTTGTAAAAAGTTAAAAATATGTTTAGATAATTGAGAAATCTCGTTCCTCAATGGTTTTTTTTCAGATTATGTACTGGGTAATGCTTTGTCTGCAGTACTAGAGCTGTTAGTTTTCTGAAATGTCAGACTGGTCACCAGCCACACTACATACAATATATATGATACAAGTTGCATTTTTTCAGCTTGTATCCCAATTCAGCTGAACAGCTGGGAAGTTGAAGGTGGCAACAGCTGCTTTAGTGATGACAGCGAGACAAGGCATCACACCTTTCCAGCTTGACATGGCCAGTGTATTGCTTTGCTCGCTAACAGCCAGTGTCTTTATTACTATTGCAGTRCAGTTAAATTCACAGGAAATACTATATTTAAATGGCAAGCTTGAATCATGCATATGCCATCGTATTTCTGTAGAAAAGCACTGTGGTGAAAAGGATTTAACCACTAGAAAAAGGTTCCTATTATTCTTTGCTAATTTTCTCTCCTATTGATGTTGTTCTATTTTCTTAAGAGAAGATGTTTTCTAGTGTGCTCTCATTCTTTCTGAACGAAGTGTGGTGGTCTTAGTTCAGAGAATTTATTCTGAAGCTTTCAAACTTATAAGTACTGTAATGGTGAAAAGTGTTTTGATTGTGCGTATTGGGTTCTCTTTTATAATCTCTTTGAAAAAATTGGGATGATACAAAAGCAGGTGAAAATCAGATGTCAAAGTTGTCTTGGACAAAATATGTATCTTTAAAAGGAGGTCTAAAGCTTTCTCTTTAATACTGGCTGTCACCTGGGATTCAGAACAGTGAAAGGGCAGGCTTTAGGATCAAGAGTGTACAATCAAATAACGTGCTATTAAAATAGAGTGTGAGATAGTCCAGACTGAACACGGAAAGMTGATGATTTAGGGAATGTTTCCTGGGCACAGCGATTGCGAGAAGAAGTGACTTTGTCTTCCTCAAAAAATGTAGGTGCTAAATTATTCTGCATGAGTTGCTGAGCGTGGAGGGGGAGAGGGCGATGGTGTAAATTTCCTGCCGAAGGCTGGGACTGGCTGGGGGAGCACTGTTKGTTGGAATGTCCCTTGGCTCTGCTCCAGGGCCGCTCCTGTGCCGGGCGGGGGTGACCCGGGCACCGTGTGGAGCTCAGCGGCCCGCTCGGACACGGCCAGAGCCCGGCATTTCCCAGGCGCCGGCACCGCCCGCACCCGCGCAAGCTCTGCCTCAGTGAGCTCCGAGCTGGCGGCAGCTGTGCAGCTCCGGGCCGGGGGCAGCTGTGCAGCTCCGGGCCGGGGGCAGCTGTGCAGCTCCGGGCCGGCGGCAGCTGTGCAGCTCCGGGCCGGGGGCAGCTGTGCAGCTCCGGGCCGGGGGCAGCTGTGCAGCTCCGGGCTGGGGGCCGCTGTGCAGCTCCGGGCTGGGGGCAGCTGTGCAGCTCCGAGCTGGCGGCAGCTGTGCAGCTCCGGGCCGGCGGCCGCTGTGCAGCTCCGGGCCGGCGGCCGCTGTGCAGCTCCGAGCCGGGGGCAGCTGTGCAGCTCCGGGCCGG